AAACAGCTGTTTCATTTATATCAGGTCTGTAACACTGAATTAAGTTTAGTTAAATAAATTGTTTCTGTCAATTTAAAGGATTCTGTTTTTACAACTTCATTTGTTGGTTTAATTCATAACTAATACATTTATATTTTTCTATATGAATAACATTAAAAATTCTGTACATACCAAATACAACTTTAGAGAAAATCAACTTGATATTTGAACACCTTGGCTCCTCCCTTTTACAATGTTTTCACCAGCGTAGCACTGAAAAGTAGCTTGTATAACGAGCGCTGTAGATACACGGTGGCACCAGGTGTTTGCTAATTGTTTCTGGCTAGTCTGAAGGAGCTGAGTGGGGGGTTCATGAGGGAGGGCTGTTCTGTGAGGCAGAAACTTGGTAGCTTGGAAACTGCGTTCTGAGGAGGAGCTGCATCTCGAAGGCGGGGCTAGGTCCACCCAGGCGTTTTCTAGAGCAAAATAGTTGCCATGGAGATTAAAGGATTCCTCAAACATGCATGGAAGAATCAAGGCAACACTCCAGGTGTGTTTTTTGATGAGGCAATAACATTATCACTATGCAAAGCTGAAAAAAGTCAATTCTAGGTAATACCGCCCCTTTAAATAAAGATCAGATTTATGGCTGGCGTACTGCCATTGCTGTAGAAACTGAGCCGCTCACTGGCTAGCCGCTGCTGCCAGTGTGTGCTTATAGATCTGCAGAGTGAAAGCCAGCTAAATCCTCGTCATGCGACATTCCCACCATGCTTCGTTCACATCAAACTGAGACAATCTTTCATTAAGATCCACTCCTCTTATCTTTCCCCTTCCTTTGCACATACAGTTGAGTTCCTCCACCAGCAGCTTGTGTTTAATTGCTGAGTCAGCAGCTTTTGGTTCGAGCTGGCTAGTATAGGCACACATCTTCCGATTACCTGAAAATTAACCCCAACTCTCCTTGCAGGCTAAAATAAAACTCACTATGTTCTGCAGAAGTGTTTTGGCAGCAGGAGACCCAGAGCCAGCAGTACGGGAGAATATTATCAGGTCTGAGAGACGCAAAGGAAGCTGCAGCAGGCCCTCCTGCTGATGCACATAATTGGAGAGATGAATTTCAGGGGAACAAAAAAAGAAAAAGAAGAAGTAGAACAAAAAGAAAGCAAACACTAAGTGGCCGATAACACGAGTTCCAGAGCAGCTTCTGAGACAGATTTTTGGAGAAGTCAGTCAGCTGGGGTGGATTACAGGGCCTGTGTGTTACCAAGCCTCATGTGATGTGGGTCATCAGAGGGCAACGCAGTCGCTTTGGCAACAAGAACTGTTCACGTTCCTCTGTGGATGAGAGGGGAATTTCACAAGTCAGTGCTGCTCTCTAGTGGTTTCTCCAAAAATCCTCTTCAGTCATATTCTGACACCACACGATGAACTGATCTGTGTTTCTCTCTGAAGTCTGAATAAAATATGTTTTTTGGAGTAGTCTTCAATTAGAGGAATGATACAGGTAGAATAGAATGTGTTATTTTAATACTTCATCTATGTGATGTTTTGGTAAAAATGATCTGTCTTTTTATGTGAACTAGAAAGAATAGCGGAAGCTGCTGATGCTAATGGGGATCTGAAGGAACAACAAACAACAGGTTCTGCATAAAAGTAACACAACTGACAATAGTGTATTAGGAAAAAAAATAGAGGAGTACGTTCCTGCCAAAACACGCAACAAATTTTGAGATTAAAATTGATTTTTTTCTAGAAGATTTCTCAGATTTTCTAGAAAAAAAACCTGGAAATTTCTTAGTTTGAAAAGCTGAAAAATTGCAACAAAAAGAACTAATATTTTGAAATTAATATCAGAAAATTTCTAGACATTTTTTGATTCATCTAAATCTAGAAAGAAAAGTTTGAAAAGTAAAAAAAAAAAAAAAACTTTTAAAACTATGTGGAAATATCCACATTTTTATCTATAAAATTTCTGAGTTTTTTTGGCAGAAATTTACTCCAGTCTACAAATGCACAAATATGGCATTGCAAAAAGTTTCAATTTTGTAAATCTCTAAAGCACAAGTGTTTTTTCCCCTAAAAAATCTTTTATTTCATGTAAAGAAAAACAATGTTTTTTCAAAAATATTTTCTTACATGAATTGCTAAGACAGGTAATTTTAATGTGATTCAGTTGTGAAAATTAATTGTAGTTATTCAATAAAAAAAAACTGAAAACTGCATTTATTATTATACCTATTTTCAGCATTTGTTTCTTTAACATGTGTATTTGAAGTTTTAAATAGCCCTTGTGGAAGATCCAAAGAGGCTCAGGACCCGCAGGTTGCAGCTACATCATTTATTTTAAAAGAAAAACTGAATAAAGATGGAAAATTCTGTATTTCAAGTCCACAGAAACTAATTTAAATTAAATCATTTCCTCTGGAGACTCCTTCCCTTCCCCATCTCATGCTCTGACCTGGACAAAGCTCTCCACCACTTTTCACTCTCAGCACAAACATCAGTAAAGCAGCTTTTACTCTGAAGGAGCCTGAACAGTTTGATGTGGGGAGGCTTCCCAAAGCAAACCCTTCCTGCTCGTCCCGCTTGAAGAAACGAGAGCGTCTTTGCCCGTATGCGAGTAATCGTCCGTGCAGCGTGCGGTCAGCGAGACGTTTCTTAATGACAGAGTTATCCAGAGCGACGCGGGGCCAACTCCTCTGGCTGCTCTGTAAACAGGCGGAGCGGGGCAGCCATCTGGTCTGCCTCCACCTTCCTGATGATCTGCACTGATTCCTTCTGAGTGAACCCTCAGCGTAACGTCGAGCTGAACCAGACTGCAGCGAAACGTGAGCCAGCAAAGAATGAAGCTGCTTTTACTTTCACAAGTCCAAGTTTACACCTCCAATCAAAATTATTCTCTATGTTTAGTGTTATTGTTTCTAAAATATATATATATATTGGTTTTACTTATTGGTTGAAGTATCTCTGACAACCAGAACATAAAAAAAAAAAAAAATTCTTAAATTTTTTCTAATTGTATTGTGGCACCCCCATTGGGGTGCACCCAGTTGGCTCAGCTATTTTGCAAAAAAGAGAACAAAAAAAGAAGAAAAAGACAAATTTCAGTTTCTAGATGCTGCAGAGACTTCCCCTGAAAGACTCACAGCTCTATCTGGGGTGAAAGGCTGTTCGAAGCACCTCCTTCAGGTTTTCTGTAAACTAACACTTCTTCACCTGTGAGCTGACAAATTGAACAGAAAGTTTCACTTTCTTCATGAGCTTAGCTATCTAAAAGAAAAAAAAAAGAACCTGCTCGGTCTTCAAAAGTACCAAACAATAAAAAATACAGGCAGAGAGTGTGTGTAGGTGTGTTTGTATGTGTGTGTGTGTGTGTGTGTAGACGACAGCAAACAGCCTGGTCGGTGTAAGCATATAAAAACTTCTTCTCAGTCAAAGGAAAGGCTTTCGCTCTTGCAGCAAGTTTTACTTCATTTGAATCACAAAGAAACAAAAAGGCTTTCTCCAAAATCTTTGCATCGGATGAACGAAACGAAAACATCGAAATGCAAAGAAGCGCTGCCAGCCTGCCTGCGCGCTGTTGTTATCCAGATAAGCACCCAAACTTCAGCGACTTTTGACCGACTCCTCCACTCCGTTCCCATGACCGAGTCGCTCCATGTATGTGTGTGTGTGTGTGTGTGTGTGTGTGTGTGTGTGAGATTCAGATAATGCGCGTGTTTGAGAGTGCTGTGCCAACAGACAAGTCAGCGGGGGCAGCAATGGGACAAACTGTGGGAGGCAAACACAGAAGAAGAAAAGGAGGAGAGAAGAAAGCAAAGATGGCCGACTGAAGGGTAGAAAGAAGGAAGTGAAGCAGAAAGATTCTCTCTTTCTGGTAGTTCATCGGTTCTGACCTTAGCTTTGACCCAAAGCGAATGCTGCAGTGAGCTCACAGCAATGACACCGCCACTATGCAGACACACACACACACACACACACACAAACACAGGAATGCTGCTTCTGGTATTGTCTTTAAGTACCAAACTCGGGCCAAGGCCTCGCCAGGGTTTCCAAAACAAAATAACAGCCGTGCAAAGCTATCTCACACTTGCACACAAACACACACATACACACACTGCTCGGATACACACCCAAACACCACTTCCGTCCATTCTCTCTCACTGTGAAAGGAAGCGGAGCGGAGCTGGCTGGGAACCAGCTGTCCCGACAGAGGTAGTCCTCCGACTGCCCACTTTCCTCTCTGAAAGGACTTGAAGGACTCGGAGTATATTCTCTGACTTTCCACTGTTTAGATGCAAGCGACCACTTCAAGCCTTTGGGGGAGGAGAGAAGCAATTCATGCGGTCTAAATCTGGTTTTCTTCAAGTGAGTGGTCTGATTTAGGGCCATTACTATAGATGCATCATTAACACAAAACTCTAAAATAAAAATACCCACTTTGACCAAGTAGTTTTTATTTCAAACAGCTTTCCAACCAGCTGAATCAAATAACTGAATTACCTTTTCAATATGGCATCAAGTTTGGCAAAAGCTGCATCTTCAGGACGACAGTTGGAGACGCCTGCTCTAGAGACATTCCCTAAAGGACTGGCGGCTGTAAGCGAGCTAAATGCAGTTCCACGCAGTATTCACTCAGGATGGCTGCATGAAAATGTGTGAAACACTTTAAAAAAAAACAACCTCCAGACAAAAATTTGGTTTCCAGTCACAATTACACACTACTTTGCGTTGGTTTATCACAAATAACACTTTTACAAGGCATCGTAAAAGCACAGCTGGAGCTGACCACATCCCACAAGTTGTGGACGTTTAACTTTTATTTGAGCAACATTTTACGCTGGTGTACCGAAGACGATTAGCGCCAAGAAATAAAAATAATTCTGACTTTTGATCTCAGGAAATCATTGTTCTTCTTTCTCCGACCTGATCATTACTTACACTTTTAAATCCAATTACTCTGCTCAACCGACAACTACAATTAAAGCAGTAAGGTCATCAAAGGTCAAACGTCTTACCTTGGGCCATTTGGGGTTAATTAGACGGGCTTTGATTGCGTCGTCCAGAGCCTTGGCGTGCTGTCCCAGTCTGAGGTAGGCCGCAGACCGGTTGCTGTACAGGATGCAGTTTTGCGGGTCCGCGGTGAGGGCCTCGGTGTAGAGACGAACAGCCAGCACAAACTCCCCCTGCTGGCAGGCCTGGTTACTGCGGCGCACACGTTCCAAGAACTCAGCTTTGCTCAGGGCGGCTGGACCGCCAGAGCCAGAAATCCGATCCAGCCTTTTCCCGACTTGGGCCGAGGGGATCCCGGGAGATGAAGAGCGAGAGGATGAGGAGGAAGGGTTGGTGGCTCTGCCGGTGGAGCGAGAGCCAAAAAGGGAGAACTGTGGAGAAGACGGAGGAGGAAGAGGAAGAGGACACGCTTAGCAAGACATAGCAACACATTTCTGTGTCTATTAATAAAAAACATCATCAAAATTACTTGTATTTTTCTTTTCTTTTTTTTTTAAATAACTGCTTTACATTGAGTAGCTGTGATATTCAATTGTTGAGATAACATTTGTCCCGTTACAGTTGTCGTACCACCAGGCTAATAGATAAATGATCTTCATCAGACTACTGTCCAATATATTCCCATGGAATTTGGTCTAACCAAAATCCTGCAGAAATCATATTTGTAAAAAAACCACTACTACTTTGAACAACATATTCAAAACCATATAATTTACATCTGAATCATCAGATGTGTATTAGGGCCACTGTAGAAAAAAAAAAAACTTAATTTCCTCCAAAAAACTCAGAAATTTTGGAGGAAATCAAGCCCAGACATTTTCTAGAAAAAAACTAAAAAAAATAATCTAAAAATTTCTGCATTTTTTCTTGAAAATTTTTAATTTCTCAAACTCAGAAATTTCCTTGTTTTTGCTTAGAAAATGTCTGAGAAATTTTGGTGGGAATGTACTCAATGTTAAATTTTATCTACAATGGCCATCGTACACCATCGTAGAAATTGAATCTAGCATATTTTATTTCTTTAGTATTGGATTCAAATAACTTTTGTTTTAAAAATGCTCAAAAGACCAATTGACGTTGACCTGCATGTCATTAAACAAGACATGCAGGTCATTTTTCTTTAGTTGGATCTAAAGAAAAACAAAGAACAACTGAGAACTGACTGAAGAACGATCTGATGCAGTGAGATCTGGACTGGCTAGACAATTACGAGTTCATCCAAATGGAAACAGGAAAAAACTAAACCCAAACATTACACTGGATGCACTGAACTCCAAAGGATGTGTGTTCATACTAAAACTTAGAAATATCTTTTGAATTATCCATCATGTCAGGATTATTTCAAGGATAAAGAAAATTTGAAAGGATTTTAGAAACTATTCCATTCAATGATGCTTCATAAAACAGACATTTGAGAAGTAAAAACTGATTTAAGTGTAATTTTCCAGTATTTGAAGCCGTCACTAAAACAACAGCCCACTCAAAGAATATTGTCAGTTACATTTTCACACACACAAAAAAACATTATTGAAGATGGAAAGATACCCAAAATAACAGCAAACAGTAGCTGCCTCATATGAATTTTATGATGCAGTGAAAAACTGCTGCGTTCACGTCTCTGTTCTGCTGTAACCACTTCAACTCTTCAGGAAGATGCGGGGGGAAAAAAGTGACAAAGTCAAAGTGGGTTCTGCTGAAACTTGGGCTCAAATGTTCTCACTACGGCCGAGAGCGAGGCGCTTCCACAGAGCTGCCTCCTCTGATCTGGTGTTTCCAAATCCGGGTTTTCACCAGAGCTTACACCAAGGCCGTCATTATCTCTCTACAAATTGCCACAGGCACACACACACGCACACACACCCACGCACACACACGAGCTTAAGGGATTCCTAAACCTTCAAAATGCATCAGCCAACATTGTTGACGAAGACGCCAGAAAACTTGAAGTGGTACTTAAGATTTACTTGAAATAGACCAGAGGCGTTTGTCAGTCTCACGTTTCTGATACGAGTGAAGCATCTGCTCTGTGGAGGTTTTCATCGTTTTAAACAAGCCTGTTTATCCATCTCCACTTATTTCAATGGGTTTTATTTCTAAGAACAAAGCGGGATGACTGTGGCATCAAACTAAACATCGCTGCCTGGATATCAACAACCTCTTTTTTTGTTGTCATAATATCTTTATTGAAGTTGCACTCATGTAGAACTGCTACAAAATAACAATGCAATGGAAATGTGAATGGAAAACAACAGCTTTCCATTCACAGAGGTCCATAAAAATAAATCATTTTTAGCTAACAGGAAAAAACACTTTTCTTTTAATAAATGACAGATGTAGATTACATCTAGAATGTATTAGACCAAAACTAAAACGATGAATATCATTCTCATCAGTTATTAATCTGTCTGAAAGACAGAACAAAACAAATACGTGTATATACGAGTGTGTGCATATAGTTGTAAAAAAAAACCTTTAGCCAACACTATGTCATATTTTAATAGATTAGATTAGATTCCATTTTGTGTTTCTCCCACCCCCCATTTTTTTGATAATTGGAAGATTTAAAAGAGTTGCTTCTTTTGGGCTTTTCACAGGTGTGAAGGGTTGACGAAGGAGAAGCTGCGTGGCTAAACAAGTTACATTGTTTGCCACTGTTCCCTTCACATTATTTGTTTTAAGTAGAGCTGTCCCGATCCCACATTGAAATCGGAAATCAGTCTGGAAAACAGCCCGAAAAACAGCATCGGATCTATAATCTCTGATATACGCAAGCTGATAGAAGTACTCTGCTCCAGCATTTAGTCCAACCCAGAATTTAGTCTGCTCCACTATTTAGTGTCCCCCAGCCTTTTGTCGACCCCTGTAGTTACTCCACTCCAGCATTTAGTCCATCCCAGAATTTAGTCTGCTCCTGCATTTGTATCCAGCAGTGCTTGTATCCTGAACACAGACCCATTGGTTGATAATGGTTGGGTCAGTTGTTGTTGACTATTGTTCTCTGCTTGACTAGTATCACTAGATCAACTATTTCCTAACATTTCACACAGCAAAATACGTAACAAAAGTGTGTATGATTCTTGCTGTTATCTTATCTGGCCGATATCGGTATCGGTCAACACTCAAAGCAGCGATATCGGTAATGTCGTATTGGAACACCACTAATTTTAAATACTTAATCAAGCACAAAACAGCATCACCTGATAAATGAGTTTTGTGTTAGCTGGTCAGTACCGTACACACACACGCACACACACACACACGCACACGGTCAGGTGAGAAGAAAAAAGACTCAATAAGACACTCAGCAGGATAAATCTATAGTTGTATAAATATCCCTGCATGTTGCATTTGCTCCATAACAAAAAGCATATTTCAGTAGACACACAGATGATCAAATTTTAAAGAAGAATTTGCTGGAGCTGCAGTCAGTAGAGCAGCGCTGCAACAGGAACACAGCATGAATATCCTGCCCAGTCCTTCCAAGACTGCTGGCAAACACACGCTTCCCCTGTCGTCCCGTCTTACTATTCACTGCCCCTCGACTCTGCCCAGGTCACAGGGAGGACATTCCTGAAGAATAACACCAATATGAGGAGAAAAATCTCCATAGCTAAAAGAACGACTGCTCCACCTGAATATGATTATTGATCTTCTAATTTAAGATTAAGAAGTATCAAACAACAGGCTGGTGGCCAAATATGAAATGAACTCCTGACAATTTCACCAGTGGCTCAAGCTCAGTCATTAGATCTGCAAACATTCATTTTCGAGTCATGGCTCAGATTCTCAGTTGGGTTTAGGTCTGTACTTTGACTGAACCAGTCATGGGGTCACTATCCTGGCCCGGTCTGAAATCTGCTGCTTCCCTCTGTGTCCTGAAGACAGTAATACCCACAGCACTATGCTGCCATCACCATGTTTCACAGTGGGAATGTTGTGTTCAAGGTATGGTCAGACCCTTTGGTTTTATTTTATTTTTTGCTACATGTAGCACATGCCTGTAGGCCAAAAAGTTACATTTTGGTTACATCTGACTAAAGAAATTTCTTCCTATTCTTTTCATATTTTTAATTTGCTAAAAAAATGTTAGTTTTTTTATTCTTACTAATAAGAATAATAGTATAATACTGTCTCAGCCTTATTTCACATTGGGATGCATGTTCACGATGATCAGTGTTAGCTTTCTAAAATCTATGACTATTTGTTGGTTAGCCAAAACATTGCCAAAAAGTTCCCAAGTAACTATGTTACCTTCGGTTGTTATAAAAATGCTGTATATATATCAAATATGACTTAAAAGATATTTGACTTCATAATTTGATGCCTTGAAACTGGGCCTTTCTGCTTTTTCTGAAACTCTTCCTCCAGGAAGTCATCACCACATGGCTCCTTTATCAACCTTTAAAAACATTTTTACCAACTTCAGACTGAGAAGTCGCTTGTGTAATGAGCTCAGCAGATGCACAGTTCCACCAGATGTTTGCTAATAGTTGCTGGCTGGTTTGAAGGAGCAGAATGGGGGCACGGTGGGGGAGTACTGCTCTGAAGCTTAAATTTTCCACTCAACAGGTACAAACCTCTGACAGGGGTCTCCAACACAGTGCCTGTTCAAAATCACATAAATGATTAAGTGATGTAAAAAATAAACTGTCAGTTTGGCAGCCCTTTGTATCACTTAGTACTCATGAAGAGCCTCTTTAGCAAAACGTTTGGTGACTCGTGCTCTAAAATATAACGGAATTTCTACATGAAAAAACAACTGATTCTCAATAGATTTAAATGAGCACATTTAAAATATAAAAATAATGTAAAGTATAAGTTATTCATGAAACAATTTTTACTAAGCAGTCCATATATATATATATATATATACACACACACTATAGATAAGGATATGTTGGATGCAAAATGCATAAATAGTGATTAAAAATAAGTAAATAAGCTACTGGGTTAGCTGTGGTGACTGTCAGTTGGAAAGACCCCAAACCAAATTCTGCTCAGGGCCCCAAACAGCTTTGGACCGCCTATGTTTTCAGACTTTTCCTCATAAATCCTGAAGGATGTCAACACCTCATAATACGTGAGCAACCTGCATTTATTTAAAAAAAAAAAAAAAAAAAAAAAGCTCCAGCAAACTCTTTTCTTTATCTCTTTTCCCTCCGGCAGTCCTCACATTTCACCCCCACAATTTACGTTTCCACCGGCCTCACCTTCTCTTTCCTCGCTCTGGGCTTTTCCATCTCCGCTAAATCCTCCGCCTGCTGCTCCAAACTTTGATCCCGCAGCAGCAGCAGAACTGAGGGAGGGCAGGAAAAGCCTCCGACACCATCCAAAACAAGCCCAGGAGTCGGCCGTCGGTTCCCCGGTGATGAGTCCTGCGAGTCCGCTCACGATTCAGCGGCACGCGCGCGTTACGTCGCCACTTTCCAAAGTTTTTCTCGGCGGTGAGTTAATCCGCAGTGAATGCGCCATGTTCCCCGCTGCCGATCCTCCCCATAGCGGAATTTTTGTCCGGTGAGAGGCGGGGATCCGGTCGGCTCCATGGCTGCAGCTCTCAGCAAGGTTTCAATTACTCCTCATGACATCAGAGGGGAATTGAGTTACCTGATGGACATTATAAGGCCCGACAAAGCCGCACACAGTGACGGTGTGTGTGCGGGGGGAATAAGCACCACGTGGACTTAGTTCTTTTAGACATGAAAGCTAAACGCGCACGAGTAAAATTAAAAGCAAACACAACAGGAAACTGATCTTTTATATATATATTTTTTAAATATCTTCTCTAAAATGTCCAGAAACTTTTTTTTTAACATTGTTGTGGGGAAATTAGATTTTTATAAACACCGAGTTTAAACCATCTGGAAAAATGTTTTAGAAAAAACTGGTTCATTTGCCCGTATCCAAACTGAACTGGTGTGTAAAAATTCTTAGCATGGGCAGTCCACCCAGGGCGCCAGTCTGTCAAGGAGCAGCACCTGGAGGAAAAATGCTGTCATTTACGCATTCAACAACTTTCCTCCTGCTTTTCTCATGATTATTCAAGCCATTCCTGTTATATTTCTGGTTAAAGTGTTCTACCTTTTCCCCAGCAGCTTCTCTCTTATTTTGCTTTGTCTTTGCTTAATAATGAACATGTGTATTTTCTCCATTTCAGGTCACACTTCAATAATGTTACAATCTGTGAGGACCAGATTATATTTTGTGTGCTTTGGTACATTAAAACTTTCCAGAAGAAAAACTTTTTTTTTTTTTTACCGTCAGCTACAAATTTCCTTCTCTGACAAACTAAAACACAATGAAAACATTTTTATGTTCATCAATCTCAACTTTTATGAGTGCTTCTCATGTACAAGTATTTACAAATGATTTCCAGTTCATTGCAACGGCAACCAAAATTTACAAAGGCTTTCACAAAAATTCTGTACAAATACAACTTCAACGTGCGCTTCTAGGAGCTGGGCTACAGACAGCGGCTATCAAACGTCTTCACACCAGATTTTTTTTTTTTTTTGTAAAAAGAGAACATAACTTTTTTTCCCCGCATATCATGCGACATTTATCCTGTGCAGCTTTTTGGAGAAAAGTTATTCATTCGTAATCGTTATTTTGACAGCAAAGGATGGTAGTGGCAGGATCATGCTCTGGGGTTACTTTACTTTAAATACAATCAAGATGGATGAAGCTGGAGAAAAATAAATACTTTATTAGGGGAATATTAAAGTTCCGGGATGGCCTAGTCAAAGTCCAGAGCTAAAATTGCCCTCATAATCAAATAAGTCTGATTTTTTTTCCTTCTTTCTGACACATTTGTTTGTTTTTCAGTTGAACTCCACTTAATAAAGGTCACATTATCTGAAAAACCTTTGAAAGGATTTATGATGGTGGCGTTGTAACAGGAGTGTGAACATTTTTGAAGCCGCTGTCATTTTTTAACATTTTCGTATCAACTAGGGAGAGAAACAGACACCAGATCTGGAGGAGATGAACACATTATAGGAAGTACAGCAGTAAAGACGTGAACCATCCTCAGGCTCAGTTTTCGTCTTAGAAATAAATTCTGCTACATTTCACTAAAGAACTACATTTACCAGATTCCAGAAGGAGTTTGGCTTAAGCTCCACAGTGACTCAAAGGTTGATCAAATAAATATATAATAGTGCAATATTTAATAGGGTCCCAAAGAAGTTTCCATAACTTAACATAAGACATTGTGAAATAAATATCTGCCTTTTATCATCTCAGAAATGTTGAGAAAAAAAAAATTAAATTCAACCTTTATTGTGAAAATCTTTGTATCCTGATTTTTTATTTTATTTCTTTATCATTTTTTTCTTACTAAAATACATTGCTTGGGGGCAAATTTTGGTTATTGAACAGAATAGAAGAAAAAATTACTTGTTTTGTTGTCAGTCTAAGAGCCGATTAAAGATTGTGGTTTCAAAGTTTGGAAACCACCGCCCCCTCGTGGTCATGAGGCAACACAGCATGCATTTCCAGAAGGATGAACTCTGCTTTTGCACTCATTATTTAACAGCGTTGCCTTGGAAATTATGTCTGAAAGTTTTCCCATGTTCAACTGTTTTATTTAATGTTTCAACTGAAAATCTTATTTATTATCGCTGAAATAAGAATAATAATGATTTGCTAAGGGTTGATTTGTATAAGCAACTAAAACTTAATTTGGCTGAATTCTGAACGTTTTTCCCCCTCAGTTCTATAAACAAAGGAAGAAATGTAAAGCCTAGTCTTTACTTGAGGTAGTTACTGATCTGTCTGGCTTTTAATATGGAACTTTCTCAGAAAATGATTAAAATAATTACCTCATTATTACCACCTTATTTGTCTTTCTTCTGTGAAAGACAAATAATCTTTCACAGAGGGAAACAAAAATGGAACTTAAAATAGCTGAAATGTGTTCCTTTGTTTGAATCAAATCCTATAAAACAGTTTTTAATCATTTATTTCACAATGTCTTTTTTCCTCCCTGCTACCGGCCGTTCAGTTGACCTGAGTTCCTGTGATACGAGGCTGTTCTGCGCTTTGGACTCGTTTTCTGTTCTTCCCGGTTTGCTTGGGTCGAGTCATTCTCACACACAGTTTGTAAAGTCTCACAGCTCGGTCTTTCTTCTTCGCTTTTGTCGGGCCTGGCCTCCTGCCCCTCCGTCTCTCTGCCTGCAGATGGCGCTGCTCCGCCACTTCAACACTCGTTGGGTCAAGCCGAGGAAGTTCTGCTTTCACCACCGTAGCAGTGCAGCTGATGAATCAAAGCAGGAAATAAAAATAAAACAAACGTTTTTATCGTGTGTGTGCTGTTATCTCCATCTCTGTAACTTTACTGTTATTATATTAATGTAGAATATATAAGAGATAAGGGGTCAATTAGATAAGGTTTTTTTTCTCCCCTTCAAACTACTGCTTTTCATTTAAAACTTTTGTTCATGTCAGCATGCCGCATGTTCATTTTAAACAGTGAATGAATGAAAAATTAAAATTAAAATGAATGGGTTCAGACGCGGCACTCTGAACAGTCAACTTATGCAGCAACGAATCTTCGTAAATGTGGAGACGTCAATAACATCTGTCAGTCTTTGCTGGTTGTTTCTCAAGATTTTGTCCCAACTTAACATTTGTGGATTGACAATACTTTGATCTTGGGATGTGAAAAATGCTAATTTGATCTGGTTGCTTTTACAAACCCACTGGGTTCACATCAATCACAAATTTTTAGCTCTGAATTCCATTTGTGTTATGCAATGTTAATGTTAACAATTCAGCACATCTCTGCACTCATTTTTATGAATGCAGAGATACTTAACAGATTGTTATTCATTCTATACATTTTCAGCTTTTTGCCACGATGGAAGATGAAAATCTGTTACAGACTCTTCAGCCAATCAAAGACTAACATTTTTATCCAAATGTTTTCTCTTTTTGTACATCTTTCCACAGCTTTTAAGCACTTTTTTAAAAGTGCTTAGACAAACTTTTACGGTGGGTTAATTAAAGAGTTTCTCCCACAGAGTGATTATGCGATATTAGACACACAAACCAGTATGTTTCTGTAAATACTGACTTGCTGCTTGATGCGCAGTCCTGGGGCAGGAAGCAGGACTGAGACACATGTCCAATCAGAAGAGTCTCCACTTTGCTCAGTTGTCTCTGTTGAGTCAGAGAGTGGAACAGTCTGGAAGGACATTCAGAGAAACGTCAGATATGTTTCAGGAAAAAAACAAAACAAAAAAAAAAAGCTCAAAAGTCTGTTAAAACAAGCTGACAGACTGATAACCTGTGTGATACTGCGGCTCTACGGTAACGTTCAGAGACCTGAAGGCCTGTCAGAGAGCAGAGAGCTGCCGTCTTACATAAGCTGGTGAATGTTTACACTGGCCCTGGCCTAGGTCTGTGTTATGAAATGTCTCC